ATAAAAATAAGATAAAAATAAAATAAAAATTAAATAAAAAATAAAATAAATAAAATAAAAAATAAAATAAATAAAAAATATAATAAATAAAATAAAAAATAAAATAATAAAATAAAATAAAAAAATAAAATAAAAAATAAGACAAAAAATAAAATAAAAAATAAATAAAAAATAAAATAAATAAAATCAAAAATAAAATAAAAAATAAAATAAATAAAATCAAAAAATAAAAAATTAAAATAAATGAAAAAATAAAATAAATTAAAAAATTAAAATCCCTTTTTTATCCCCTCCCAAATCCACAGATCCAGCAGCAGCTTTTTCTTCCCTGCTGCAGCTCAGCCCAGCTCTAATGTGCAAGTGATTAACTCCCAACCTTGCAGTGCCAAACTCTCCAGAAGTTTGTGGGCTGCCAGAACTGGGCTGTTCTCTTCAGGAGCTTTTGTATTCCGGCCTTGGGAATTCAGACAGCCTTTTGCTGCAATCACATCTTTGTTAGAAGCAGTTTTCCCTTCAATTCAACAAAAAGCATTGTTGATGCTTTTCCATGGTTCTGTTGCTCTGGATTAAATTGTTGGCACTGAGGAAGAAGTTTAAACAAGAAAAAAAAAGAAAGGAAATGCGAGTTGGAATCTTTGGTTTGTGTTTTGTTGTTTTGGGGTTTGCTCTGAGATTTACAAAACCCTGAAGGTTTCAGGGTTTCATCTTCCAGCCTCGGTGGTGTTCACCTCTGTGATTTTTGGGACAAAAAGTGCAAATTTCCAAAGCAGCAAATGCAGAAATGGAAACATTTAGAGAACCTCCCAAGCCAGAGAGGAGGAGGAGGAGGAGGGGGAAACTCAATATCCATTGTCAACCTTTGGCAGAAGCTCCACATGAGGCACATTCCTGCTCATTCCTGAGCTTCAGGAGCTCTGATCCTCAGCTCCTGCAGGTTTGTTTCTCTCCAGGATCTGATCCTTGTCATTAGAAACTGTAAAAAAATAAAAATATAAAAAATGTTTTGTGGCTTTGCCATTTGAAAATCCAGGTGGATGCTGCATTCATTGTTTCAGCCACTTGGGAACTTTTCTTTTGTGAAAAAACTCAATTTAATTTATTTTATTTTAATTTTTTTTTTGGGAACTGATCTAAGGGCTGATCCTTATCCAGCCTCCCTCAGGTGCTCAGTGACCCCCGGGCTGGGCATGTCCAGCAGCAGAATTCCTCCTGGATAAATCCATTCCCAACAGGTTTCCAGCCCCTCTCTGACCAGAATCATCCTCAAATCTCCGTGGGACTCTGGAAATAGCCAGGATCAAAATCCATGGATCCCACGGAGTCAGCACTCCTCTCCTCTCTGCTGGAGCCCAATTCCAATCCAGCAGGATTCTTCTCCTTAAAAATCTTCCTCTCCTGTCTCGTTTCCTCCTCTCCTGTCTTTATTTTCTGTCTCAGTATCCCCAGTTAAAAGAAGAAAACTCAAACTTTTATTTTTTGTTGTTTTCTGGCTGCCCTTGGCATGGATCCTTCAAATTGACTCCTTCCTGCTCCAGTCAATTCTGAAAATCCTGGAACTCCTCAGCACAGATCAGGAGAGCCTAAAATTGATCCTGCAGAGATTTTTCATTTATTTCTAATTTTTTTATTTTTTGTAATTTATTCCTGCATTGTGTTTTTTGCTGCATTATTGGAGCCTTTCACAATTATTATTATTTCTGTACCCCAGCAGGGTGGTTAATTCAGATTAAACCCACATTTAAACCTAATTTATTCCTGCAGCTCCTGCTTGAGCAGAGGTTGGAATTAACTCAGGCTCCAGGCTGAAATCACACTGCAATAAAACCACATTTCCATTCCCCTTTGTCACCCCTGGAGCATCCTGGAGTGTGCTGGGGCTGAAACCCAACACTCAGAGCGATACCTGAGCGTGGAAAACGAGTCCTTTTGTGACTAAAATCGTAATTTCAGACCTGCTTTTTGTCATTCCAAGGCCTTGGCTGAGCCAAGTTTGTGTTTTGGGATGAAAAGAGCTTTGTTGTGTCCGGGCTTGCCGAGTTTGGCACTTGTTTTGGAGCAGATTTAAAGTTTTTAAATGATAATTTTCTTCCAGGTTGCAGCAATGGTTGAGCGTGGAGAACTTGCAAAGTTCTCTGGGATTATTCAGATTTTTTATTTTGGCTGCAAGAGAGCAGATCCCCATCCCCAAAGAGGATTTGGTGAATTAGGAAAGGAGAAACAGCAGCAGGTGCTCCCTCCTGGGGTCTCCAGGACAATTTAATCCCGTGCAGATTCCCAGCCTGGACACATAGTTTGGATTTTTTACATCCACAAATAATTCCTGTGCTGTGTAAACACCAGAATGTGTTTTTTGGGTGGCTTTGGGATCTTCCTGAGCAGGGCATGAACCCCAAAGTAAAGCCCTGAAGATATTTCTGAAATCAAACCATTTATTTTGTGCCTAAATCCAAAGCAAACCCCAGCCCTTGCTGTGGAGATTAATGAGATTTTCAAAGCGAGAGCCACAAATTAGGTAAATAAATCCTAATCATCCTGTTTGGGATAATTAATACAAATCCTGCTGCAGGGATGGGAGCATTTGACAGCAAGGAGGTGAAGTTTGGGGTTGTATTTCACCATTCCTGGAGCTCAGATCCCATTTTTCCTGCAGGTTTGGGGTTTTTCAGCACAGCTCCCACTCCAGGAGCTTTCCCTGTTTCAGAATTCCCACCAGGACATTCCTGGAGCTCAGATCCCGTTTTTCCTGCAGGTTTGGGGTTTTTCTGCACAGCTCCAGGAGCTTTTCCTTCCATGGAATTCCCACCAGGACATTCCTTGGGCTCATCCTTCTTTTCCTGCAGGATTGGGGTTTTTCTGCACAGCTCCCAATCCAGGTGCTTTTCCTTCCATGGAATTCCCACCAGGACATTCCTGGGGCTCAGATCCCGTTTCTCCTGCAGGTTTGGGGTTTTTCTGCACAGCTCCCACTCCTGGAACTTTCCCTTCCCTGGAATTCCCACCACGAGGGATCTCCTCCCGCTGAACCCCTCAGAACCGATTCTGTTGAGCTCAGATTTGGGTGAATTTGCAGAATTTTGAGCACAAACCCCTTTCCAGGATGGTTTT